GTTTGTTGTTTCTGCATAACTTCCATGTTATGCGATTTAGATTCAATTACTTGCCTGATAAATTTAATTAAATAAATTAAAATTGGTATTTGCATTTCCAGTATAACCTTTTGCCTTATGCATCTTGACTTATCATCCTTTAAACTTCTTATCTCTTTGATTAATTTGTCGGATCCTTCAACACACGATTTTTCGAAATATGAATCTACAAAATCTGTATTCTGTTCTAACTGAATGAATGTCATTAGATCTTGTATGATCTTACCGGCCAAAGTTTCAGGATGTTTGCAGGATGTAATATTCTGTGGAATATTAAGACGAATGTGAGTACCATTATCTAGAGATTGTATCATTGACGATGAAATTGTCTTCTCTACAACTTCACTAAGACCCATTGTTATATATTCTGAACTACTACTATCTTTCTTTTTTTCCATTTTATTAACAACTGATTTCCATTTTTCTAATCTTTCATTCCTAATTTTTTCAAAATTTAATATTTCTTGAGCTTTTTTCGCTAAATTTCTTCTTATCAATTCCTTACTTTTCTCTTTTATTCTTGTTTTGCCATCAAACACGAATATCGGTGTAATATTATTCTGTTTTAAAAGTAATGTCATTCTGTAAAAACCAAGAATATGTGTATACGGATGCATTTCCCCCTGACTATTAGTAGCTTTGATACCATAAACAAATTTTCGAAGATAAATACTACCGTCTATTGCCAATCTCTTGTGTTTGTACTGGTCAAGGGTTTTTTGGGCTATTGAATCGGGAGCGTAACGTTTTAATAATGAGTTTAGACGTTTAACACCCATTTATTTTTTTTACGTATCAGGTATAAATAATAAATATATTTGATAGAACAGTAAGGCTTTTATATAAAATTATCGCGAACCGCGAATTTCAATCACGTATGACATTTGCAATACGTGACACAATAACAATTAACTGCAGGACTAAACATTCCGTGTCTTTTATTGGTATCTTGTTATTTGTCACGCAGATTTTAAATAATCAAAATTTTTAGTGATTTTCTTTGCCTTGGGATTTTTTCTTTAATAAGCCTTTTGGGTTAGTGATTTTTATTAATGTTAGACATGGTTAGTGTTTCGTACGGTCGGATATTTTTTAAATATGTGAGAATTATTTGTCGTTAAAATTTATTACAAAGTTTTTACAAAAACGGTTTTTTAAACTTACCGTTTTTCTCAAAAATTGCTTCCGAATTCGCCCTTACCCATTATACAACCGATCAAACAATGACAAACCGATCGTTCACTACCCAAAAATACCCGGACGCTTCAACAACTAGTGAAAGCTGTTTTTTTAGTATTTACTGCTTATTTATCTCATATAGAGGCTAAAAAAACATTTTTTTAATGAATATTTCGTATATTAACTGTTTATCGAAAAAAATCCTTAAAATAAAATCTGTGGTTATTCTAATGAAGCAAGTCTTGAAAATACTGCATCGAATATTGAATTGAAAATGATGATAATTTGGAAAAAAAATTTGAAGGAAATATAATGCAAACAATTGAAAACATTGATAATTTTAATACTAATTGTCTGGAACGAAGTGACCGACTCTAATTTTTGTTTGGAACGAAGTGACCGACTCTAATTTCTATGCATTGTGATACAAAAATTACTTTTTTGATGCATTACATAATAAAATATCAAAAAAGTAACTTTGCATTTTCCGTCTGTCCACTCACATGATTTAGGGTTATACGAAAATTTTAGGCTTATTCTACACCCTACATGTCATTAATTTATAAAAAAAGATGTTATTTTGGTGCTGCATTAAAAATAGGATTATTTTTTTAAACTTTATTTTTTTATTCTATATTCTATATTTTGTTAATCTATAAGAAAAGAGAAATTTTTTTTGGTGTTACATTAAAAATAGTGCCTTTTTTAAGGTTTTATTTTTTAATCCACTAGGCTAATTTTAATGATTTAATTATTATTAGATTTGACTCAATAAGTTTTAAAATTTTAATTAGAAACTTAAAGATGATTAAAAAATATTTAAAACTCTATTTTTATAACATTTATACAGTATTTTGTTCTGTTGACTTATAGATTATCAATTAAATATAACAAATTTTTTATAATAAGTTTTATTATATTAAATAATAAACTGAAAGTATATTATGAATATAACAAAAGATATGGCGATTTAGTGAAGTTGGCAAGTTGTCACATCCCCAAGCAGCAGGACTAGAGTTCAAATTCTATTGGTGACGAAAATTCGAATTATAGAAAATGTATTTGGAAGACTGTATCCTATTAGGTTGTAGAACCTGTAATGGTGGTCATACCAGCTTGTACTGAGAGGTAGTAGAATATGTAGTGTGATGTATGTGTTATATGAAACTTGAGTAAAACTACCAAATAAATTTAGCGAATTTACAGAGTACAGAAGCTTGTTTGGCAAGACCCAAGTGGAGAGGTAGCACAGATCTTTGGCAATTACTGTGTAAAGAATAATCAACCGGATACCAAAAAACCAGATGGGATCAAGGTGTTTAGCAAAAGCACTATATTAACCAGGCTAACAGAGAAAAATGGAGGAAGAGTTTCACCCTTCTGGGCTGTAAGATTAGGAGTTTGGGTTTCTGGAAGTATGAAAGGGAGTTCATAAAGTAGATACTGGGATTTGGGTGAACTCTACAAGGGCAGTAGTAGGCAACTGTAGCGGCTTCGGCTTGCAAGTACTTGTCCTCAAACTCGAGGTAAGTTACTGAAAAGGCCTAGTCTGAAAATGTGTAGAATATAGAAAAATTAGTGAGGTATATACTACATTCTCTCTAGGGCAACCCAGTAAGTATGAGAACCCTACTGGGTTATCTATAGAATTAGAGCACAAGTAGTGTACACTCCCCTGACATTGATCACCGGAATTTTGATTTATTTAATTAAATTTATCAGGCAAGTAATTGAATCTAAATCGCATAACATGGAAGTTATGCAGAAACAACAAAC